TGAAACCAAACAATCCTTCAAAACGAAATAAAATAAGAATATTCCATAAAAACCTGAACATAAATCATAGTTACCAATTTGCCTTTGTCCTACTTAGTTTTTCTCTGTTTCTCTTCTGCTTATACCCCTATGTACATACATTAACAATCTACCCCTATACCCGCTCTATTCTCTTAGAATCTCTAAAACGCTCAGCTTCTTGCCTTATCTGTCTTTCTCTCTCTCACATCCTTTCTCTCCCTCTTATAACCCTCCACTCTCACCCACTCCAATAATGTTACACCATATTGAAATGAAGCATATTATTTTATGTATCTGATATTTAAGTGTAGAATATCTTATAATATTCTGTAATACTATTAATATCTGTTAATCACGACCATCTCAATTTATTGTTAAGATGTACATACATTGATAATAAACATTAAATGGCAGTTAAAAGTTGATGAGTATTAAGCAAATGGATTGGAACATTAGATAAATTGAGAATGAAAAGGACATTAAAAATAGACGCTTCTGCGAGAATTCAATCAATTTAAATACTTCACATTCCTCAGCCAGTTTTCTTGTCGATCCGGTGATCGGTTCGAGGGATTTATCGGGTCTTGTTTTACATCGATCTCCCGGGACCCGACCGATTAGATCTCGCTCTCCTGGTGACCCTAAAGAGGGAATAAAAGGAGGCTGTAGGAAGCTTTAAACAAATCCACCGTAATGACATCAGGAATGGCCAATATCAGCCTAAAAACAACGAAAATTAAAGAGTTACCATTGCATACATACTGAAACTATATATGCTTCTATTAATTCTAACAAGAATTCGAATGAAATGAATTTTATCGTGCAACAAATACGTTACGAATTATTCAAAGTCGTCATGTCCCGAAACCCACCTTATACAATGTGAATACATATGTTCTTCGTTTTGCGTAAAAATGTTCATTTTATGATTATACAGCGAAATGTCTTGCATTCTTGAAATCTTGATAATTTTTTCACATCTACGTGTACGATTACGAAGCTGCAAACGAGAGTTACCAAATATTTTATGTCTTCGTCTTTCATAACTCAATGTCCTGAACGAAGTACCTCGCATTGGAATTTTTGTTTTATCGTTGTACAAACGAAGTATTTTGCAAGACAATTTCAACTATGCAAGGTATTTCTACTTTGATTAATACAGCTACGAAGTGGAAGTTGCGAAGTGAGATACTTTTTCGCCTTTGGCCTGTAACAGCGATTAACAAAATCAAAATATTTCCCTGTTGTACATATAAGAATATAAATACAACAATGTCAGACTATAGATTGCTCAGCTCAAATAAATTTATTATCCAGAGGTGAACAAACATATTAAAAAAAATCAGAATTATATTAGAATATAAGAACTGTGTATAAATGTGGCATCCTAAACGACTCGACTGAAATCTATAACATCTCGACAATTTTTAGAGAAATGACTTTGATTTATTTTATTCGCTTTACTTCTACGCAACGAAAAAATCTGAAAAATTCTGGAATATCGTGAACATGCAAGAATGTTCGTGGGATGGTACTAACGATAACCAATATTTTGTCAATGACAATACATTTTTTTTAATTTTAATTATCAGTATTATTTATTTTCTTTCCTATAAATAATCCTTACACTTTTTACTCATATATAACTTTTTCTCTTTTCAAAATGAGAATTTAAACTTTTGCGAAGCTCCGCCCACATACATCACGTGATCCACGAACTTCCAGACTTACGCGCCCCCATTTCGATTAGTTTTTAGATTTCTCCACTAGATGGTATTGTCATCTCCGTAAATTGCTCGAATTTATTATTAAATAAAAAATATCGCTATTTAGAAGATTTGTCAATTGTGAACAATTGCATCCTTTTGATTAAATTCTCGTCTTTTGTTTCCCATTATTCTCTTGATACTTTCGTTCAAAGAAAAAGGCTACTTTCAAACAGTTGAGAAAACATCACAATCACAACTGATCACAACCATCAAAATCATAATCATATGGTCGTTTGTGTTTGCTATGTTTGATAAAATTTTATAAAGTACGTAACAAACTATATAGAGCTTTCATAAATATTTTCAACTATAAATAACTCGTTTAACTAAATAGTATCGAAAGATACATGTATTTCAGCACAATGCAGACTGTTTATATCTATTAGAGAATATTTTTAGACACAATGTGTACAAACTAAAATACATAAAAATATGTAATAGTTATAAAGAAAACGTGTATATATGTTGTAATAAAAATGTCTTTCTATATAATTGGTGTTACATTTCGATTGTCTTGTTTTTAGTGGAATGACTAACTTGGTATTTGGAGTTGGAATAGGATTATTTCTAATTTTAATCCTATGGGCGGTAGCTTTGCTCATATTTTTTATCTCTTTAAGAATCGAAAAGAAAATCGGAACTATTGCTATACTCATCGTTAGCATATGTACAATCGTTTTAATTGCATTGCCAAGAGCATCAGAGAAATCTACTACTGCTGACAAAAAGGTATGTATAAATAGTTTCTCACATCTATTTCTATTTTTATAGAAAAATAAATATTCTGTTTTACAGGTATACGATCATTTATTTATCTGGCGCATTCTGTTACTCATATTGTTGATAATATCATCTATAATCGGCTTAGTGGGATACGTTAAATTTGGAGTAACAGAACCTATAAGGCCAATTCGAATAACTAATTGGATTCTCTAAATATTCACTGTAAGTATTGTCTCCTGACATAATCAATAACTAATTAATACAGTGTATAATAGTACAATGTCGCTCTAACTGTCGCCTAATATACAATCTTCGCCCTAGATCTCCTTCTGAAGTATTCTTCCTGTTGTTTGTCACTCGAACCATTTTTTTTAAAGTGGCCAAAGTCCACTTATTTCAAAATCGAGATATTTAATAATTTGCGTTTCAATAAATCTAAAAATATTAGTAACTGGTAACGTGGCAATATAATGTTTTTGTGTTTCTACGAACGCTTAATTTACCAACGAAATTAGCATAATAAACATTGCTAAAAAAATAATGTTTTCGATACCTATAAATAGACTTAAGTCACTTTTAAAATTAATGAAACATACTTTTCCAATTTCTAAAAAGACGTAAGTACCCCTACTAGTTTGACTACATGTTAGCAAAAATCTGAAAATCGACTGACAGATTTGTATCAAAATTTGTACTGTGACTTTTTTATATAGTCTAAAGTGTTGTCGTAGGGCACAGGGTGAATCGCCTAAGGCAAGTTACTTGAATAACTTCTACATTCTTTGAGATAGGAAGGACTGTTTCAAACAAAAATTGTTCGGTTTCGAGGGACACATCACGTGGTGTACATAACTTATCTACAAGTGAAAGTGTTTAGAAGATTTGAAGATCAACTTTGTTTCTTTAAATCGCACGTGATATTTTTTTATACATCAAACTGATAATAGATAGAAACTAGATATTCTTTATAAAAATGTGCTGGCTTACGTATGTCGAAAAGTTAGTAATCTAGGAGATATTTCAATTTAAATAATTCTAAGATTCGCACTGACCCATCCCAGGGGATATGCAGTGCTCTGATCTGTTTTTTGTTTCTTTGCCTTTGTCACAATAACTGCAGAAATACTAAAAAATATTCTTTATTCTCTCAGAATCTGAAAATCGCAAATTCAATGATTGTAATGGACGATACTTCGAACAACTCTTGAAATAAAATTAGTTTTACAAATATTTTATGAATCATTCATTTTAAGTCCTCATTGGTATAATATTTCTTTTAGTCAGAATTTGCTACTTTAATGAAATTCGAGAGAAAATATTGGGCATTCTGTTTAAAAAAACTGAAGGTGACCGTCGTATCCCGATACAATAACAAAGAGACAATGAACAAATTACAGCACGGTCCTCCCGGAATCCATGCAACATTTGTGTCTAAAAGTTTTTATCGTACAACAAATACCTTGCAAATTAGTCGAATTTGTCATGGTACGAATTTCTTGTACGAGACGATCATATTCGATAGATATATACATAATAAAATGTACAATAAGCTACATATAGTACGTCCAATTAAATCGTTCACTAAATCCAAAGTCCGTTAAACTAAGGGTTTGCTGTATTACAATTTTCATGCGAAAAATAAATATTTCTTGTTACAGGCACATGATCGTTTATTTATCTGGCGTGTTTCGTTACTCATATTGTTTATAATAACATCTATAATCGGCCTAATACATAACAGAATCAGTCAAGCCGATTCGAATAACTAATTGGGTTCTCTAAACACTTATTGTAAGTATTTCCTTAGGATTAGTGTACAATACCAATCTTTATAAACTTCGTGTAATCTTTCAGTTTTAGCTAATAAGTTAACGATTATGTAAAGTGATCGAAGACTGCATTCATACTTGCTTTGTAACAAAAAGAGCAAGTGAAGATCATAAAAATGTTGCGCAATACTAGTAAGCTGTCAGCTACGCTGATGCGACACGTATCATCGTCCCACCACATAAACAAGCAATTCGAAATAAATAACAATAGCGAGTTCATTAGTAAGGTGATGAATAGTTCGGTGCCCGTTATTGTAAATTTCCACGCTGAATGGTGTGACCCTTGTAAAATACTGACGCCTAAATTAATAGAATTGATAGGACCAATGGAAAAACTAGACCTTGCCATTGTAAATTTAGAATCGAATCCAGAGCTGGTGCATCTATTCGAAGTGAAAGCTGTACCGGCAATTATAGCAATTTCAAGTGGCCTCGTAGTTGACAAAATTGTAGGCCTAACTGATTTAGTGATCATAGAAAATTTGATACAGAAACTTACCAAAACGTCCGCGATCTCTGAAAACGATAAGAACGAGGTTTAACGTGCACACTGTGTTTCAATGTAATTAGTGCAGCGAATTCAGTATGTTTTTATTTTTCTGTTATGTTTCGTATGTTTGTAAATCTACGTCGATGGACAGTACTTTTATGCAACGCGTGTTCAATATGCTTTACTCCAAATACAAATCATAAAGAGATTATATAGAATTTTATTTGTAAATCGTATCGAACTGATTTTAATTAATGTTGGCACAAATTTCAGAACATAGAATTTGTATTAGAGCTCTGCCATAACTTGTATCAACGCAAGGGTAAAAATATGAGAGTAATTTGAAAAAAGATAACATTTTTATTCGTTATATATATAATTTTTATAATAATAACTTGTTAATTATTTTACAAATTCTTAATATTGTATTATATTTACGTCAGTAATAATAATATTATAACATGATTATAAAATAATTCTTTTTGAACCGATTGTATATTACATAATATAATACGTTATATCAATTAATTTCAATGGCTTTCTTCCATCCACTATTTTCGCGACAATACCTGTACTTATTAAACTAATCCTAGCATTAGAACTGAAGTATATCCCAAGGAACTCACTTTCTTTGTGTAATTTCTATCGCTATCTAAATATCCTTCATTCGGCTAGTGTAAAGATAAGATTGTAACTTGGATGATTAAAAAATAACTGGACTTGATTATGTAATCAATTTAACAATTATTCGCTTTTAGATAATATCGATGAAAATTATAGACTGATGCAGGGATTATAAACAAATTGTTATTTAATCGGACTTCTAATTTCTTGTTTATTCTCGATTCTTGAAACAATTCTGTACAATCTATGTATGAAATCACTGTCGATTACAGATAATAGGCCAGAGACTTAATAAAAACACATTTAATCCATGTATTCCCTGGTAATAGATTATTCTTGTCCCTTGGCAGCAAGCGATACGTAAATGTACATACCAACAATTAAAAGACTAGCTAAGATTTCTTTATCAGTCAGGTGCTTTCAAGAGACACCGTGATAAGGCAATGCTGTGATTTGTTGGTTGCTTGCAAAATTTGTTCGATCTATTGCGCCGTCGAACGTACCTTACTCCTACCCGTTTAACTATTACGTTTTAAGAACAAGTGCATTTTACAGATTCTCTTTAGTTGTTGCAAGCAACCCTAGTTCTCTTATTAGTTTAATAACCAGTATACATGTTTTAAATTTTGTTAGTACTTGCGATCGGACAATAAGTGGAAAATGAATATGTATGTATATCTGTAAATATGTACAAAATTAGGTGAGAACATACAATAAATATTTTATCTTTTTAAAGAAATGATAATAAAATTTATTTTTTCTTCGGATAAACACCGTGGTGTATATACAAGTGTACGCGATTTAGTTTAGATTCTATTTTCTTATGTCCTTGATGAAAATTAAAATGAGAGAGAGAGAGAGACGAAATTTAAATACACCACCATGATTATCCCATGTTTTATACAATAAAGACATACAAATAAAGAGTTATTATTATTTATATTTAAAACTGCTATTAATGCATCGATATGTTCTGCAGAGGCGATCTCATGGCCCCACAAAATTACACACTCAGTAAATACATTTTTGGACGCTTTAAACTTGCAGAATTATTTGTTTACGCATATTTACAACTTATCTATTATATCGAGTAGTTTAAAAAAAAATGTAACAAAATGTAGAAAAACACGAATGATATATGTATGTACAAAGTTTATCGATGTTACTTGTTGTTACTGAGCCCATTAACATTAATGACAGAAATATTTTTCACATTCGCCAATAAATAATTTATAATTTATAGCAACCACAATTTATTCTTATATTCTAATCTATAATTCTAGAGATCCATTAGAAATCCATATTAGTAAAACTTTATAGTACAAATCAAGGGACAAAACTCGTAATGATGCAAATGTAGACATAGTGACTCCTATTAATATTTAGACACACTTCAAAATGGAATAATTTTTTTAATATTGAATCAGACAACTACATTCTCTTTGGAATTTTGGGAGGTTTGATGTACTACATAACGTGTAACATGTACAAAGTTTCATAAGAATCAATAAAAACATAAAAAAGTTAGACACATCGGGACATATAAAAATTCTTTAATTTATCTCAGCTGCGGACCGGAAGTCGTGAAAAACTACGATTTTGGAAATTTCTAATTGCTTGTTTCTCACACCGACACTAACCGATTTTCTAATATACACATGTAACTTCGTTGAATCTACAAATGGGATGTTCCAAATTTTTATTAGAGACCTTCATAAAAAAGTTAAAAATCATGTGCTTTAGTTTATTATTCTGCTTTATGCTTTAGTATTATTATTATAGACTTCGAATAGCAATTTTTTTTAAATCTCCCGTTCCACATTATATAATAAACTAAGTCTTCTAACATCCTACAGAAAATTAAATTGATATATAAGTCCAATATTAAAAGAAATTATACCATTTTGAAATACGAATGGGAGTCACTGTTTGAGAATAGACTGAGCGCTCAGAGACTTGAGGTCAAGGTTTATTTATTATAGAAAACTAATGGAAGAGTTTCTTCTTTTCTATTCACATGTGTGTGTGTAAGAGAGAGAGAGAGAGAGACTCTTCCAAAAGATGTTTTCTCTAACTTTCATGGGGTCAATAAAAATACATTGGACGCTCGGTCTATTCTCTTATATCTATAAATGTAAGCCACTTTTCGGAATGGAAATGTTCTTGTTCTTTTAACATGCCTGCATCGTGCTGCTTCCACTTTGCAAGATACATTAGGACGTCATGTTGCCTTTAAACGTACTAGCATTCGTTGAAGAAAGCAATGCAAGTCACACCTTGGCCGAAAAGTGACTTACAACTTTTATCCCCTTGAATGTACATTAACATCGTTAACAGTTGCAACAATAGCAATCATCATTTATATATATGTATACATATATATATATATAATATTAAAATGATTAGCAACAAAAAAAGCAACATAAACACGTATGAGTGTGAGTTAAAATTGTATTTTATTTCACGACTTCACGCAACTTTTTATATAACAATTTAGCTATTTAACAACAAGTAACACCTACTTCCCATCGCTAGTAAATCATCTAACTGTTATATGATACATAGTATAATACAACATGGTACAATTTATTTTGCATTGAATAACTTGGCGATCGTTATTAGTCTCACCAGTAGGTGTGAGAACTAATAATCGTTTAATTTTAACTGATCAAACGCTAATTATTTCTCGCGTGAATTTTTCAAATTCACGTGTCTCGATTATGTTTTAAAAGAAGACTGCACCTATTGAATAATCGTTGCTATTGAAGAAGAATAGAGGAACGGATGATTGAACGAGTAACAGAGAATGAGAAAATGTTAGAAAATTCGGATAGCGAAGAGTATTTTCTAGCTACATGTAAAAATATACACACATACATGTTACATTACACGCGTAATATATATGTACATATATTTTGTAATTCGAATTAAGAAACGAGCGTTAAAACTGACCGACTTTCATTATGTACAATTTTTCGAATATTCCTCCCGTCAGAGACAGTTTCGTATTGGAATGAATTCATCGTTATTAATGCATTTACATCGGTATTGGCGAAACAGTGATAATTTGAAAAGTGATCGTACGAAAAATTCGTTTTAATGCGTTTTATCAGAGGAAGTTTAAAAATGTTTCATCATACTTCTGCCCCCAAATCTTTTACACCTTGTTCCGCTATTGGAACGTATTTGTCATCGATTTTTACGAGCAGAATAACTTTATCTACGTGAGATCGTCGATTAGGATCGCGGTGATTGGGGAACCAACAATGAACGACGCACCCTTCCATACCTCTTTCTGGTACCCAATGCTGCCATCCGGATCTACCACCTTGCAGCCTCATTCTCTCGTCCGGCCAAATTACGTCTATTCGGCGACCCAAGTTAATAGCATCATACACTTGATTAGGATCTATGATCTAACAACAAATAAAGAAAGTACTAAATTCGCAGGTCGAAGACATCAGGACGTAACCGCTATAAAACTATAGTGAAATCCATAAATATTGATACGTATTTCAAAGCTTAATAACTTTTTTAATATTAGACCTAACGAATTAATTTTTGTTTTAACTGTTGGACAGATTAGTTAAAATATCCCAATTTATGTCCTTGTCACAGTTTCTACTCACTGGCTCATAATTTTAACATAACATATCAATATCACAATTTCTACTCACTGGCATATTTTTCTATAATTTTTATTTTAAAACAATTCTCAAAAGTTACTCAACTTTGAAATCTGTACAACTATTTATGATCTTCACAGTACGGCTATAGAATGAAATCTGATTTTCAACTTACGCGTACTCGTTGCAAAACTTCATCCTTTTCTAGTTTACTCGTGAAACTCGTTTCACTTTTCGTTTCAGTTTTAATATCGCTATTACTGAGAAGACCAGCCAAACTAGCGAGCGTCGAACTTGTAGGCTTCCCAACCGAAGCCAACGATCCTCTATTTCCACCCAGGGATCCGGTATTCGCTCTTCCTAAAGAGCCGCGGCCAGTTGATCCGCCGATTTGACATCCGGAATCAATAGATTGAGAACCGGACGTGTTGTGACCCGATTGTCCGTATCCTGAATTAAACATTTCATTTTTATACCGTAAAACAGTAGTTCAATCGATATTAGTGATTAAACCAGGAATTGAAAACAGTTATGATATCAATTCCGTTTTTTGAAACAGTTATCAATAATCGAAAAAAATGACAAATATTATTCGATGCATCTGTCCTGACTTATATCGTTTTTTACTTCGATTCTTCGGAACCGATATTGCATCAATACTACAGCTGTTATTTTTTGGTTCCACCGATGTGTAGTATGTATAGTATTTATTCTAGACTTATGGACCCAAGAATAGGACTTGATTTACACCTTAAAAAACTTAATCATTCATTCCTCCACAACATCGCACAACGGAATATTTCACACTTCATTACCCATCGATCTTACATTCCTCTACAAACAATATCTAGTAATCACTTTCTGACGGTTTTCAGTTTTTTATTTCAACTGGAATTTTTGATTTTCATATAGCAGGTATTAATAGTTATTTGGCTTTACACATAAGGTTTTCGATAGCTAATGAAAGTATGTACTTAATAACAATTATAATAGAAAAGAAGAACCGAAATACA